CCGAACTTCCAACCAAGTGTCGGATTCAAGCCTAACCAATCCAGATTACAAAAGGTTTTGCGCACAAGTACCAAAATAATAAAACGAACCCATTTCAAGTTTCGGAACTTAAAAACTCTTCAGTTTTCACCATATGAACCTATTGGGACCATCAAATCACCATTCTGATGTCATTTAGATAAAAATCAAGCCTTGGTCAACTCTAACAACTTAAGCTTTCAAAATTAGATTAAGTGTGCCGAATCACTCTCAAACCTTTCGGAAGCCAACCCAACCAAATCCACAAGTCACAAAAGAATAAACCCACATGTGAGAAGTATAAATAGGGAAAATGAGGCTCAGATACATATAATAATTGGTCAGGTTGTTATAGTAGTTGCTAAACTTTCTGTCAAAAACAAAAATGTTGGCCGCACTTTAAAGTACGGACAACACTTTTCAAATTGTTGACAGTTATTTCTAGTCATCAACCATAAAATACAATGAACTGACCACACTCTAAAACGTAGACTGCACTTTTCTGTAGTTGTCAAAAATTCAACACTTTTTAAATTTTTTCAAACGCGCCGAAACTCGCCCGAGCCCCTCGTATCCAAATCCAATTATTTACACAAGTCCAATAACTGTCATGACCCAAGATCCCACCTCAAGGTTGTGATAGAGCCTAGCCGAACTTGCTAAGCAAGCCAACACGAAATCAACAAATAAAGAATATTTTCATTGTTAACATAGATAGATAATAATTCAAAATGGAAACAGTCTCAAAACAGTGATAATATCTGATAAAACCACAAGCAATGCCTAAAGACGGCCAAAGCAAATCGCCCCAAGACTAGGTGGCACAAGTACGCGAGAAAACCATATAAATAAGACCAAATTTGTATATATGTCAAGCTGTCTGAAATACAAAAAGACAGAAATATATAAAGGAACAGGGACTCGAAAACTGCGAGGTAGATCCATGAAGTGCAACTCACCCTATGTCTTAGTGAAGCACCCTAGCTCGATTAGGAAGCTCTACTAGGATCCACCTCAGAATCTACACAAAATGATGTGCAAAATCATAATATGAGTACACCACGGTCGGTACCCAATAAGTATCAAGTCTAACCTCAAAATGGTAGTGGCGAGGTTGGATGCCTCCGAATACTTACCAAAAGTATAATAACATAATTTAGAACTAAAACAATAAATAACACCATGAATAAGAAAAATCATAGATATCAATGGATAAGCATGCTTTTCTAGCCTAGAAATAACCCCATCGCTGCTCAGATATGATAATAAAAGAGAACATACTTAAATAACAAAGCTGGGAATCCCAATTAGAATATAAGGATGTCATGTAACAATTTACAATAAAATAAATACTCCAAAAATTAGTAATAATAATGCACGCTCAACCCGTATAAGGTCCATGTACCCCTATACACAATCCATGAATCATATAACCCGATACAAAATCCATATACCGACCCCAGTACAAAATTCATATACCGATCATGCTCACATGATCCAAAGTAACATGGGTTATCACCTAATTTCGGAGGGACTGCTCCATATCCAAAAGCAAGAGGGGCATAATAGCATCCCTTATATCCAATGTGATATAACTGTATCTCACCAGCACACTTACCCTTCGTGCCAAGGTCCTCAGTCCAAATCACATATCCATTATTAACAATATATGTATATGCTCAAGAATAATAGATAAAATATGCACAAGAACTTAATAAATATCATACGTATATGTGCTCATAAAATTTCTACATGACTACGGCCAATTAAGCAATTTAACATATCAAGAGTAAGTTCACATGCCTTCACAATTAACCACAAGCCTAGGCATAATTTCTATTATGAATAAGAGAGCAATTGTAGTCACATAAGCCAAATAAATCATGAATCAAATGAGCACATAATCGAAACAAGGCATAAAATATTTTAATTCTACCCCGGTCATGATATAAACTAGGTAAATACATATTCCCTCACCACCACATATATACACTACCCCCAATATCTTAAACACATAGAAAACAAGTTAAATCCTAGGGAGTTCCCTCTTAACAAGGTTAGCCAATAGACTTACCTCCGTCTTGTAACCTCTAATCTCTCAAAATAGCCTTTCCTCTCAAATTAACACCTCGAACGAGCCAAATTTAGCCAAATACAATTCAATAACGTCAAATAAAGCCATAGAAATAGAACCCAAATAATAACGATTGAATCTTCAATCAATTACACAAAGTCAAAAAACATTCAACCCGGGTCCGCCTCTCAAAACCCGATAATATTTTTAAATTTCAAACACCCATTCCAATACGAATCCAAATACACTTATTTCATGCATAACCAACTCCAAATCGGGGTCCAAATCTTAATAATTCGCTTTCCGAAAATTCCTTACAAAAATTTCTATTTCTCCCTTAGATTTCATTAACCAAATGCCAAAAGTAAATATGAAATTATGAAATAAAATCAAATTCAAGTCAAGAACACTTACCTATATTCAAGTAATGAAAATCACTTCAAAAATAAACTCAAACAAAGCTCCCAATCTCAAAATATGATAAATAAGATCAAATCCTCGATTAAAACTAGTTTGCCTAGCGATTGACGCTTTTGCGATAAAAATGTCACTTTTGTGACACAAATGTCACTTTTGTGACACCGCATATGCAAAAAAACTCTCGCAGATATGGAAAACCACTTAAATCCCGACCATCCCGCTTATGCAGACAACCGTTCGCTTCTGCGGACCGCTCCTATGGACTACGCTTCGCACCTGCGTCGGTGCTTCTGCACTCAGACGTTCGGTTCTGCGGACTCCCCTGCCCAGCTAAGACCTTGCTTCTGCTACCAAAAGTCCGCTTCTGCGACTCGCACGTGCGGTTCTAAACCTCGCAGGTGCAAAAATACTAGAACCAGTCTGTCAATTAGTTCCAAAGTGTTCCGGAATCCACCCAAAATATTCCTGAGGTCATCGGGTACCCGTCTAAATATATCAACCAGTTTCAAAACATAATACGGATCTACTCGAGGTCCCAAGTTACGCAAAGTAATATCAAAATAACAATTCGCACCCTGATTCAAGCTTAGTAAACTAATCAAACTTCAAACTTTCAGAACTCATGCCGAACCATGTCTATCCAACTCGGAATAACCTCAAATTTTGCATACAAGTACCAAATAAATAATGAACCTATTTTCACTCCCAGAATAACAATCTGAACCTGATAAAGTAGTCAACTCCCGGTCAAACCTATGAACCATCCAAACCTTCAAAATTTTAAATTTCCACAATTTGCGCCAAATCAACTTAGGAACCTCCAAATTAAAATCCGGACATACATTTAAGTCCAAAATCACTATACGAATATATTGGAAGCATCAAAAGACCATTCCGAGGCCGTTTACATAAAAATCAAACCTCGATAAACTCTTACAACTTAAACTTCCATAGATGACACTAAGTGTTCCAAATCACTCTCAAACTTTCCCGAAGCCATACTAATCAACCCTGCAACTCACAAAATAACAAACACACACAAGAAAAATATTAAATAGGGAAACAGAACTCAAATATACAAATCGATCGGCTGGGTGATTGCAATAACAGTATACAGACCTGTCCGAGATCTTGAAACATGAATCCAAGGGCAATAACTTAAAACAAAGACTCAAGTCAAACTTAAGAACCCTAAAGTTTTAATTCTCATGCAATACTGCCGAAATGGTCCCGAGCCTTCTGGGATCCAAGTCCCAAAATACCATATGAAATTGTTGGAAAATTCAAAGTATGAATCAATGCGCGATTACTATAATCGAGGGGTAAGATTGTTAATTTAGCCTTTAACCTTCCATATAGAAAGATACCATTCCAAATCATTGCATAACACTTCGGGATCCAAATCACCCATACACATAAATTGTAAAATATTAAATGGTCCTTAAGATGTCTTAAATTATGATATGAGGTGGTAGAACTCAAAATGATTGATGGGATCGTTACATCTATTCTATGTTCAATATCAAGTTAACTTTATTTAAATTTAGTTCTTATTTAGACTAAGAACATATACAATTCTATCACACTTGAATGCAATTATCTATTTAAACTAATATTTTTTTATATTTTTCTTAATCAACTAATTTCTTATAAATTTATTTTTTTAATAGCTATGTGGAACTAAACATTAAAGAGCTGGCTTGGGCCCGGCTCGAGCTCCGTTATACTTTGAAAAGCTCGGTTTACTTGACCAAGGCCGGCAAGATCCTAATGCTAGTAGCACTTGCTTGAGGCCCAAGAATTTGAGTGCCCCAATTATTATTTATCTATATATTGTATATATTATTTATACATTTATTTTTTATTATTGATAAATTTATTATTTTTTTGCATATTAATGTTTAATAACTTAATTTCCTCATCTCACTAACTAGTTTAACCTAATTAATTTTGTGGGTATCTTATTTTAGTATTTTTTTGAATTCTTTTTCTCTATTAGTTACTCACATGACTATATTTAGTAATCCAATTTATTATTAATTTTTTCTCACATAAATTAAATATTTTATGGGTTCTCTCATTTCAGTTGTGATATAATCAGGCATGCAATTGTTGTAACAAACATAAGTTAGCAACGTGTATTTCAGTTAGCTTTTTTGTAACAGCTACGAAATAGGCAGTAAGTATAAGCAATTGAAATAAATGAGACTCGTCACTGAGCTTGTCTCGACTCTATGTTGTAACAAGCTCAGTTTGGGCTTGGCTTAGGCTTGCTCGACTCAATGCCCATGCCTGGATGCAGGTGAGCATTTATCCAAAACTATAATATGTAAATTGAAATATAAACCCGATAATTCACAGATTGGTTGTTGACCGAGTTTACTCATATGTTGCAACAACCATCCTATTAACCAGGACATAGGATTAGTAAGAACCCTATAGCTACGGGGTGTTTAATTAAAATCATACCCAAGTTTTGTCCCCCAATTAGTCCTTCTCCTCTTATCCAAATCCAATCTTTCCTGTTCAAAAAGGAAACTCTCCTCAGGTCCAAACTCTTAACACAAACTGTTTCAGGTACATATTTCAATTTTTTTAATCGAGAAACAGACTACTATTTCATATATAAACACTTAATTGCTTTAATAAGTTTAATCACTAAAAACACGCGTTTTTTCACAAAATTTTTGATGGAAGGGAATTGTGCTCGTTGGAAATTGTTTCAAACAAATTTTTGTCAGAAATCTCAGACTTCCGATGGCGTTCTGACAAGAACGTCAACGGAAACAGATTTCTAGCAATGTTCAGCTATATTGGCATCAAAGTAGGCATCCAGTCTTTTTGTGAATCTTTCGTCTATAGTTCGACTTGATTGACCTCAATTATGGGCATATATGATTAAGGTAGCTCCACTTGCATTTACCTCCTTTATCCGACTGATTTATCGTGCACTACAACAAAATATATCTGTAGCTACGGAATCTAAGCTACAAATCTAAATTTCGTAGCTGTTACTCAATAATAGCCACAAAAATTAGAATTCCGTGGCTATCTATAAATTCTTAAAATTTCTTAGCCGCAAAACTAAATTTACAATGCTAATTCATTATTTTTACTATAATTACTAATTTTCGTGGCAATAACTACCTAAACAACTACAAACTTATTGTTACAGTAAAATTTCATAGCTAATCATAAGTTTTTGCCACTAGTTAAAAGTTACTGTAGCAATAGTATACTTTTATCCGCAATAAATTTTTTGAAATAAATTGTTGTACCTAAATAAATATTTTTCTTCAAGTTATAAAATATTGTGGCAATAGTTGGCTTAATAGCTACGATTATTTGTCATGACAAAATAATATAGCCACAAATATTTTGATATGATAAACTTTCATAGCTAATCATAAGTTTTTGCCACTAGTTAAAAGTTACTGTAGCAATAGTATACTTTTATCCGCAATAAATTTTTTGAAATAAATTGTTGTACCTAAATAAATATTTTTCTTCAAGTTATAAAATATTGTGGCAATAGTTGGCTTAATAGCTACGATTATTTGTCATGACAAAATAATATAGCCACAAATATTTTGATATGATAAACTTTCATAGCTAATCAATAGTTTTTGCCACAAGCTGAAACCTACTGTAGCAAATAAATTTTTTAGTCACAATAAATTATTTAAATTAAAATATTGAAGTTGAGCAAACAATTTTGCTTCAATTTTTAAATAAATCGTGGCAATAGTCGGCTTAATAACTACAATTATTTCTCATAAATGATATAGCCACATATTTATTGTTGTGGTGAAATTTTATAGCTATTCATAAGTTTTTGCAACGACTCGAAACTTCGTGTGGCAATAATAACATTTTAGTCACATTAAATTAGTTAAAACACAATATTGTAGTTAATTGATATTTTTGCTTCAAGTTAAAAAAAACGATACAAATAGTTAGCTTAATAGTTCCAATTATTTGTCGTGACAAAATGAATAGTAGACAATTACCTTTCATAATTGACCATAACTATACATATTGTCATACATTTGAGGTTATCATTGCAGTAATAATATGTTAACTATAATAAATTAGCTGCAAAAGATTTTGTAGAAGAATTCTTTTACTTCGACTATGAAATTCATGACAAAAGTTAGTCGAAAAATTATATGCAGTTATGAAAAAATAATTTCACATAGAAATTTGGAAAAACAACAATGTATATAACTTGAAGAATTAATTAACTTCCAAATAAGAAAGATTAAATGAAAAGCATCTTCAAAAAAATTAAAAATAGCGACGGCTTTGCGATGAAAAATGAAATTCGTTGCTAGTTTTTGTACTAACATATAGCAGAAGATCTAGAAACGAAACTGCTATCGCTAACTTTATTATTCATTTTAATTTTTAGGTTTAATCATTATAATATCAATCAATTTTTAGATACATTTGTTGTATTTTAAAATAAAACTTACTTCCCCTATATTATAAAAATCTTACACTTACACCCTCTATGAGGTAAATGTATAACTACGTTTATTAAAATAAAACTATTAAATAATAAATTACAATTATAGCATTATTCATGTGCTTATATTTATAAAATTTTAAAAAGAGGATAAACATTTTTGTTGAAAATCTTTATTCATGCTGCTGATTAAAAAGGATAATAAATATTTTATTAAATATGCATCTTTCTTAACTCTTAAACATGAAATGAACCCAAAATACTTAATTAGATAACTAGAATTCTTATATATTTGACAAAATAGTTTTATCTTCCAAAAGTCTTTAACTACAATGATACTATTCTTTTTTTTTTTTCTCTAAAAATATGTAAGCCTCTTATATAATGAAAATCCTACACAAATAAAATAGCATACAACAAATTTAAGATAATTTTTCAGCGGTTCAATAAATAAACAAACTAAAATAAAAATTGAGTTATTCATATGTTGTAGTGGTGTTTATAGGTAAAGTCTAACTGCATAAGGTTTAAAGTTTGTACAATTTTCAGATCTTTTTCCTTGGAGGTATTAATTGCAAAAAGAAATAATGAGGAAAAGGGAATTTGGAAATTATTTATGTTTGATGTGTTGACTTAGAGGGTGTTTGGCTAAGCTTATAAGTTGGTCAAACTACCTTATAAGTATTTTTCGGCTTATCTACGCGTTTGGTAAAGTTAAAAGTGCTTATAAATCAAAAATAAGTCAAAAGCCATAAGCTGGTCACCCCCAACTTATAAATTTTTAGCTTATAAGCACTTTAAATTTGACCAAATTTTTTACTATCTTATCCTTAAAATACTCTTTTTTAGAACAAAACTCTTACAACGATACTCACTGCTTCAAGTACTATTTCAACCTATCCACCCCCCCTCTCCCCGCCTTTTTAAGTCTGCAATGCTCATTGCCTATTTAAGATAAGCAAATTCTCTATTCCTTTGCATATTTATATCTATGTAATTGTGTATTAATTTTTGAACTGTATGTAATAAATGAGGACATATCAAATTTTTAGTGTGTTGCTTTCTAAGTGTTGTGGTTATAAAGATATTGTTTGTTTCTCTTCAAATATTTTGTCCTATTTAGGTTTATTTTTTACTGAGAAACTTTTATCAATTTATTAATTATTATAACTTATGATTATATACTTATCATAAAATAAATTATATTTATCATAAAAGTTATCTTATCTAAGCACAGCTGTATTTAAAATAAAATGACAAAGAGAATATTTTGTATTTGGATCGATTTGGAATCTAAAATTTTGAAGAAATTACGCCCTTATAAGTGTAAACACTTCTAAGGTTATTTAAGTCATTTTTACAGAAAAAGAGCTTATCAGTACTTTTTTATCAAATACTACAGTAGCTTATTATCAATTTCAACACTTGTATCCAAACACATAACTGCTTATTTATTAAATCAGTTCCAGCACTTACAAGTCTTTTTCAACACCTAATGTTTATCAGCTACTTCAGATCAGCTAATCCAAACGCGCTCTTATTCCATTGGCAAAACTGAGTTCCCCTTTTTATCCGGTGGACATTATAATATATGACCTAAAAAATACGAAAATGAATAAGAACAAAATTTGGTACTCTCCTACTCCGTATATTAAAAAAACAACAAAAGAATGTGTTATGCAAGCCCTCAAACCGAGTTTTACAGCAATCTGAATCAGTGAACAACTTGATCATGAGCTTAAAAGATCGTTCACAAGGTCATAACTGATATAGTGCGAACCAAATAAATTTCGCACTACCATTTTTGGCTTGTTCACTTAGATCTATCACTTTCTATTAAGAAACAAACTACTGTTATTTCAAACAATTTAGTAATATACACCGACGAATAACTATATTTACATAATAAGTGTAATTTAACTTATACTAGCATGGTAATTACAATTTATTTTCTAGGTAACCAGTTAATACTAAAATTACCTGTAATTATCTTATAAAATGATTCGATAGTTGACATACTTTTACACATTCGTTCATAGAACACCAATTATTCTGTTTCTATTGTTGCCTTGCTGTATTTAGATTTAGTAGCTGTCAATGGATTTAATGAGAGGACAAGGAGGCATTCAAATGCTACTCACTGCTGAACAGGAAGCCCAACAAATAGTTTCTACTGCTAGAAATGGTAAATTTTCAGTGTATTATGAAATTTTTAAGGATTCTCATCAAAAGCGGATTTAAAATTTGAACATTATAATTAAGTTCGAGCTTGAATTAAATTTTACCAGAACTTATTAATTACTACTAGGTTCAAATTCTATTATTTAACTTATTTTGTTTTCTAACACTTATCCAACATCTGAACTTAAACTAATGTGTCCTGATTCTTATACATTTGAAATTTGACAGTTAAAATGACAAGGTTGCGGCAAGCAAAAGAAGAAGCTGAGATGGAAGTGGTAAATTATCGTTCGCATTTGGAAGCCGAGTACAAAAAGACATTATATGAGGTTTTTCTCTTCTAAATTGTCTCTTCTCCTAGATTCAATAAGCTGATTTAGCCTTAAGAATGTTATAACTCTGTATTGCTGTAATAAATAATTAAACTTTATGAAAAAACAAAACAGAAAGTTAGTAATACTTGTTTAACGAAATAGATTCTGAAAAACAAAAAACAGTATAGAAACAAATCGAGCCCACTGAATACACAGTGTTTCCTTAAGGAAATTATTCCCCTCAAGTACCCGAGGTGCTGGAATACATCCTCCCAGGATAGAACGATTTAACTCACAAGTGTATTGGTACTAAAAACTCTGATGAACTGTGAACCACTCAATGGTCGTAAAACACACTGGAAGATATTGTGCAGAAAAAGAAGAAGAAGAAGAAGAAGCTCAGAAAATTTCGTAAGGAAAGATTCTGGGATTCAAATAGAGTTGCTGACATTATTTCTGAAAAGGTTTGTAACCTTTCAGAAACAGCCATGGCTGTTGAAAAGGGGTGTTTGAAATATTACGAAAAAAATATATTTAAAATAATGCGAGAAAGAAAACGGGCCTGACCGAACCAGGTCGCGGGTNATGTTGGCCTGTCCCTTCTTCTTATACTTTTTCGGGAGACGACAATCAGGGGCTTTGTGACCGGCTTTTCCACAATTGTAGCAGCTGCCGTTGAATTTCTTTTTGTTCTGCTCCTTAGTCTGTCCAGAAGACCTCTTTCTCTTCTTACTTTTTGGAGCAGTCTCCTCAACGATATTAGCTCCCATGATCGTTGAATTTCCACGAGATTTCTTTTCGGCCGTTTTGTTGTCTTCCTCAATCTTGAGGCGAATCACAAGATCTTCCAACTTTATTTCTTTGCGCTTGTGCTTAAGATAGTTCTTGAAATCTCTCCACGAAGGAGGCAATTTTTCAATCATTGCAGCCACTTGAAATGCTTCATTCACGACCATACCTTCAGCAATAAGGTCATGAAAAATAAGTTGAAGCTCCTGAACTTGGGTTCCAACAGTTTTACTGTCTATCATTTTATAGTCTAGAAACTTGGCAACCACGAACTTCTTCAAGCATGCATCTTTAGTCTTGTACTTCTTCTCAAGTGCGTCCTATAATTCTTTTGAAGTATTCATCGTACTGTACACATTGTACAAGTCATCCTCTAAAGCGCTTAAGATATAGCCTTTGCAAAGAAAATCTGCATGCTTCCACGCCTCAACAATTATGAGTTTCTCGTTGTCCGGCATGTCCGCAGCAGGCACTGGAGGTTCTTCACTAGTGAATTTCTGCATACCAAGTGTGGTAAGCCAGAAGAACACCCTTTGCCGCCATCCTTTGAAGTTGGCTCCGGAAAATTTCTCCGATTTCTCTGCCGGTGGAACAGCATTCCGGCTTGACGAGGCTATCGTCGTTGCCGCAATAGTCACAGAAGAATTTTCGTTATCATTTGCCAATTCTCACTGCAAACAACAGAAGAGTTCAATTAATTGCAAAATCAGAACAGTAAACAATACTGTTATTAATAAAAACAGTATATATAATAAATAAAATCGAAGTTTTTATATACTGTTTCACAGAAAAACGATGAAGTTTTTATGTTCTTAAAATCATTTTACGAATTTCAATATTCTGATGAACTTTTTATATCTTCAAATCAGAATAGTAAAATTCAGAAGGAGTAGAAAACTACACAAGTTTTAATCTCCACAAACAAAATACAGAATATAAAAAAAAATAATTTCCTTAAGAATGTTATAACTCTGTAATGCTATAATAAACAATTAAACTTTCTGAAACATCAAAACAGAAAGTTTGTAATACTTGTTTAACGAAATAGATTCTGAAAAATAAAAAAATAGTATAGGAACAAATCGAGCCCACTGAATACACAGTGTGTCCTTCAGAAAATTATTCCCCTCAAGTACCCGAGGTGCTAGAATATATCCTCCCAGGATAGAACGATTTAACTCACTAGTGTATTGGTACAAAAACTCTGATGAACTGCAAACCACTCAATGGTCATAAAACACACTGAAAAATATTGTGCATAAGAAGAAGAAGAAGAAGCTCAGAAAATTTCGTAAAGAAAGATTCTGGGATTCAAACTCTATTTATAAAGTTGCTGGCATTCTTTCTGAAAAGGTTTGCAACCTTTCAGAAATAGCTGTTGAAAAAGGGTGTTTGAAAACGGGCCTGACCGAATCGGGTCGCGGGTCATGGGTTATTCCGGATTGAATTTTTTGTTAATTATTTAATTAATTAATTAAATAATTGAAAGGAATTTTGTCCAAAAAGATTAATCAATCAATCGATCTTTGACCAAATCCGAATCCGAATCCGAATCCGAATCCGAAGCCGAAGCCGAAGCCGAGCCGAGCGAGCGACAACGACGACGGCGCGAGGCTTGCCTTTTTCTTAACTCTTTAAGAGTTAGAAGAAGAGCAATTATATATATACCCATCAAAAGCCTTTTCTTCCTCCGATATGGGACAATGTCCCTTTCCCAAGGGAAGCTCAAATATTTTATTTTTCCTCCATTTCTCATTCACCCTCTTTAAGCTACACAAGTTTAAAATCCCAACAGAAATTGTTTATCAGAATCATAATGAATACAAAATAGTAATAGAAACTCTATATTATTATATAGTTAAACGAAAGCAATACTGATTCGAGTTTATGCACGAAGGTTTATATAGTAGTAGCATAATGTTTGTGGATATACTCCTACTTAATTTACTTGGATTTATTTAATCCATAATGTATTCAATCAGGCTTGAGCTAGCTTTAGGCAGGCTTTGCAAGGCAAAAGCCAGGCATGAGCTGGCTTTAGGCCGGCTTTGCAAGGCAATAGCCAGAAATGAGTTAGCTTTAAGCAGGCTTTGCAAGGTAAAAGCCAGTCTTGGGCTGGCTTTAAGTAGGCTTTGGAAGGAAAAAGCCAGGCTTGAGCTGGCTTTAGGCAAGCTTTGCAAGGCAGAAGCCCGGCATGAGCTGGCTTTAGGCCGGCTTTGCAAGGCAATAGCCAGAAATGAGCTAGCTTTAAGTAGGCTTTGCAAGGCAAAGGCCAGGCTTTGAAACTGTGCCTTTTTGTGATCTTGTAAGCTCAAATCCTTCCCTACTAGAACCTTTAATGTAGACATCATTCTAAACATTGCTAAACCATCCTTAGATTGAGCATGAAAGCATGCTAATACCATTGAGAAATGATTCAACAATCTCCAGAAATACCATATGATGGATTCATCATTTTCCTTAGCATTTGGACATATCAGAAGTAGGATAAATTGTACCATCACACACCTTCTTATCCATTTTTTCTGTACACTATCAAAGCACCCCCAGAATGAGCATGAGACCATACTAATACCATTGGAAAGTACTTTAATAACATACTGAATGAGACAAAGAAACATGCAGGTTTGTGCAGAGTCCAATCCTGTAAAGCCATCAGTCTGGGGTTCTTCTCTTTGCTATCCTAACCCTAAGGTTAGGTGATTGAGATTTGTCTAGATTGATCAACCTCCTCCCTGCACTAGGCAGTTCAGAGAATGAATGAAACTCAGATGTACCTGGAAAAGAAAACACAATGTTAGCTATAAAATCCGCTACTGAGTTGCCTTCTCTGAACATATGTTGAAAGATCACATTGAAGTTGTCCTTCATCTCTATAATTTTCTTCACATCCTGTGCAATTACCCAAGGAGGATCCTATTCCCCTTCTATCACCTTCTTCATCACCAATGAATCAGTCTCCAATATGAGAGGGTGAAGATCATGCTCCACACAGTATTCCAACCCTTGAAGAATAGCCTTAGTTTTAGCTACCACATTAGTTGTCACTCCCAGGTCTACTGCCCTAGCATACACCACATCACCTTTATCATCCCTCACACAAAAGCCTAGGGAGCTAGGTCCAGGATTGCCCTTTGAGGCTCCATCAGTATTACATTTGTACCAACCATGACAAAGAAGCTGCCATGTTACTCTTGTAGTGATCAATATAGGTTTATATCCTTCAAAGTATTGAATAATGTCTGGCCATAACAATGGAATATTAGGCATCCAAGCATACATCACCCTTGCCAGTTGATGCAATGTCCTATTTATCTCATGAATCATCCTATTTGTGGACACTGAACCCCCATGTTTACCTGCATTTCTTCTCTTCCAAAGCTCCCAAGTGATGATAGCTGGTACTGCTTGAAATAGTGGCTTTAATTTTGGACAACACTGAGCATACCACCAATGCCTTATAATCTGCTTCAATTGAATCAATTGCACAGTAATTCCTGCAGCCCCCATGAACAAGTTCCATACCTTAGAGGCAGTAGGACTTATGACAAATATATTCTCAATGGATTCCTCTTGGGGCTGCTGACAACACTAACACCTAGACATCACCATTTGCCCTTGCCTCCTCCACATGTCATCAGTGGCTATTTTCTGCCTCGACAATCTCCACAAGAAGAAGGATATCTTGAATGGCAAACTTTTAATCCACATTAACTTGAATTCCTAATTAGGATCAGCTCTATGCCTTAATATTTGCCAGGTACTACTAACACTGAACTTGCCTGAAGGAGTTGGCATCCAGTATGGCTTATCCCAATATCCCTCGCTGCCTTCATAATGCATATTTAGCCTTATATGTTCTGCAATTTCCTCACTGAAAGTNTTTCCTCATTGAAAGTTTGATCTAGCAGCTGATCATCCCATGCTTCCCCTTGCCGCAGTTCTGCCACCTCCTGAAGATCTTCATTGATTGGAAAGTCTTCAGGTAATACGTGATAAAGTGCACCCAATCCAGTCCAATTTTCATGCCAAATATTAGTGGTTCCACTCTTTAATTTCCATACTATCTCATGTTCTACTTCTTCCCTAGCATTCTGTATTTGTCTCCAAACATGAGACCCTCCCCTAAAATGCACCACTGTTGGTAGCTCCTTCTTGCAATACTTATTCCACATGAAATTAGACCACAAAGATTTTGTGGTCCTAAACCTCCACCATAGTTTAGC